AGGGATAGTAATGACTAAGATAACTTTTGTCTCTAGTATTAATTGGAAGGAAATGTTTTGTTAGATTTGCTGATATGCAAGGATGAGGTGAGGCTCTTGTTAGACTTGAGGCTGGTACTTGCAAGGGGCTTAAGGACAGCAGCAGAACGACTTCTGCTCCAGCTATGCCATCTTCTGTTCATCTGCATCCCGCTCCTCACTGAAGGAGCTCTTGGCAATGTTGAGTTCCATAAGCTGCTGTGTTCCCAAGGCTCCTGTGCAGCCCTCCAAGAGCTAGGCTCCTGGGCCTCCCAGAGGTGAGGTGGGTTCACAACTCCCTGAGAAACTCAGCCCTTGAGCATCTCCATCTGGGCAGGAAGATTTGACTCTTGTGCAGCTATTGTTTGTCTTACCATTGGGCTGAAAGCCTTACACGCTGCTGCTACTGGTGGAGCTTCTCTGTAAACTTCCCAGACTATGGCTTGTGCAGTTGGTTTCATAGACTACTTATGGTGTTGATCTACTGCTGCTTGAAACCCTGGCAAAACACTGGGGTTCTTCAGCCAGTAAGTTTTGTTCTGTGGACACTGGTGGATTTAAAATTCAAAAAAGCTGTTGATGACCCTTCCTCCTCATTTGTTTTGTTTTGTCATTTGGCTGTTTCCAATAGGAGTAGTTTCTGAGGAAGAACTTTCGTAAAAGAGAGAGCAGTAGTGTAGCTCACTGGTTCCAGAAGAGTGGCTGATCGTGGCTTGGGGAATGAAGGAAGGCATTTCCTGCAGGGGAATTTGGTGGCCAAGTGAATGGGTGTCAATAGAGCCAGAAGGGGAGAAAGGTCTGTAAAATGAAGAAGAGTAACATTGTACATGCATAAGCAGCAGAGGTGGCTGAACCTGAGTGAAGTAAGACAGAAAGCGGTTGGCCTGGTCTGTGGATGGATGTTCTTGCTGTTTAAGGACATGTATTGGAAGAGGTCTTTTTTATTCCCCACCCCCTTTACCTGGCAGTAGTGTATGGCCAGCAGCATCTCCTGAGCCACCGGTATCTCTGTTGTGATGGAGATGGAGCTCTAGCTCTTGGAGTCCTGAGCTCCTCTGGACCCAGGAGCTGGTGCCAGATACAGACAGGAGGGTAACCAGGTACAAGGAGATGGCAGGGTCATCGGGTCTAAATGCCGTCTGTGTATTGCGTGGGACAAGGACTCTTGATTGCTGTGTTTTCCCAATAGAAAATAGTTACCTCACTAAGAAGTCAAACCAAAATGCAGATGTGCTGCAAATGCATTTGTTGGGCTATTTATCAATATTAAATGTGTAAACCAGAAAGGTCAGTTGTGTTTAATGTCATGTGGCAGCTTTGTGATTTTAATCACAGTAAAAAACCCAATGACAAATGAATTCAGTGCTCTTTAGAGCTTGTTCCTCCCTGACGCAGTTTGTTTTGTTGGCTTACCTGTGCTCAGGGAAAGTTTGGTTGCCTCTGCCATGGTGGGAGAGGTTTTCTTTAAATAAAGAAAGTGGGATAAAGTGACAAATTATTTACAATGTCTCATTCACTGGGGGAATTCAGTGTAGCTTAATGTTTCAGCAACACCTTGTTGCAGTGTTGGATAGCAAGGTTGCAGGTAGAATCATAGTAACTGGCGCAAAAAGATTGTTGCATCTGACCTTAAATTAGAGTTACTGACAATTGTTGCTTCCCTGTTTCTTCCTATTTTGTATGCAGTTTCAGGTATCTGGGGTAGAGAGGCATAAACTTCAGTTTCTCCTCTTTCAGTTTTTTGTTCTTTAAAATCTTGATGGAGACTGCTCTGCTGGTTTTGTTGTTGTTTGCTTGGCTCCTTTATGTCAAGCTTCTAGAACTCTTTCTTGATCTTTTCCCGTGCTGTTTCAAAATGTAGTCAGCAGGATCCTCCTCATCATATAACATTCCTTCAGTTTTTAGGGGTAGTTATCAGTTTGGGTGTTCTAAACTTATTGTTAGAGAACTGACTGCTGTAGAAACCTGACTTTTAAATGAGAGTCCTGCAGACAGTTTATGCTTCAGCTACTTTTAAATAGCAGCTGAGGTTTTGAGCAGTGCTGGTACGTGTGCTTGGGCTTTTGTTTTCCTCTCTGAACATGTCCGTACCTGCATGGCTGTGGTTTCAGCTTTGCAGGTGGGGGCAAGGTCCTGCTTGCCCTGTCCGCCTGATGGGGATGTGAGCTCCTCTGGTTTGTGGTCCATGCTCAACAGTGGTGTCCTTATTTCACTGGGTGACACAGTCTGTGACTGACTATCAACAGCAACAAAGCAACATCATACTGAACGCACAGGTTCCTTGCTACTGTAAGGGCAGAGTGTTACAAGTAACCCTGAAACGTTCCCAGAGTGCTGCAATAGTTTACAGCTGTGGTGTGCATCCTGTACCCATCAAAAAGCTGGTGATGATGTATAAGGATGGAGCTTTGATTTCAGTCTGGTGATACTCTCTAGGTTCTCAGTTGATGATAAGACCAGCTCAGTTAAAGAGGTACAGTTACATTTGTTTCTGTGCCTGTTTAAAAGATATTTTTTTTCTGAACGTCGTGTCAACAGAGGTTCCTGTACTTTTTTCCACTTCACTGGCAGCACTGTCCTTGTTTAACTCCAAATAAATCTTAGTAACATGTGCAGCCCCAAGATGAGGGGAAAAAATTAATCTCTAGATCAGGAGCTACAGAAAATGAAATGAATTATGAATAGAAGAGAGAGGGTTTTTTCTGTATCTGTTGTCCAAGCAAAGCGAAACTGGCACAGAAAATAAGAGTTAGTGAGCGGTGGTAGTGGAAAGCAGTGCTGGGTTTTTTTTCTAAATTTGGATGAAATGAAAACTTTTCCAGATGTCCCCAGTAAGACTAAACAAAGCATAGGCAGGTAAGAGAATTAACATCCCCATAGGATTCATTCAGCATTCCTGAGATTCTTTCCTTTGCATTCAGCTTCAGTGGGAAAGAGGGGGGGGGGGGGGCTTTGTTTTTTTCCTTCCACCGAAATAGTTAAAAGTCACAGCATAAATTTCCTGACTTGGTGAAGAGCCTGTGACCCCTCTCAGTTGTCTTGTTCATCAGAAGGCAGATAGGTAATAAAGAGTCTCCTGTGTGAGAGGAGTAGGGAGAACCTGCTGTTTTAATTTTGTTCACAGCAGTGGGCCAAACTTTGTTCTTTCAGTGCTGGCCTTGATAATTGGCTCGATATAATACAGGAATTCAAGCCATTGCGTATCTTTGGCTTTATAACTGCTAATGTCATAGCCAAGCAGAGTGCAAAGTCTCCTGCAGGAACATACAGTGAATAAGAACAGTAAGCATGTTCCAAAGAACATACAGGCGGTGGTTTTAAAGGTCCTCAGCTCAGCCGTGGTGGGTTAGTTTGTATCCGGGTTGCCTGGACAAATAGATTTTGCTGGTTTAGTTTCTGTGGGGGATATGGGTTTGATTCGGGAGATTTTCTGGACTAAATATTATGTTCATGTCTCTGATTCCTGGGAACCAGACTTAAGGGGTCCCCTCTTTTCGGGAGGGAAGGATTTGCTTTGGAAGTTTCCCCAGCTTTAGGAGTTTGGCTATAGTGTGCCTTGCCTTTAGGGTATCCCATATCCTGCTGCGCAGGGTACCTTGCACAGACATACAGTAATGTTTTGTTTTTCCTTTGGCCGCCCACAGCTCTCAGCTATGGCTAGCTAAGACTTATTTACCCTGTTTTTTGCAGACATCCGTGCTTTATTTGTCATCTTCAATGAGGTTCTAACACCTGTTAAATGCTCCTCCTCCCTTTTTTTGGAGAAGCATTTAATTATGACAGGGTTTCCCTTGGAGCACATCCTCCATTCAGTTCCCTGATTGTAGAATTCTCTGTGGGATTCTCCAGATGGGGGATAGAGGATAATCTTCTCAGAGCTCCGGAAGAAATGTGATGCCAAATTACAGAAAATAGATCCTTTTTATTAAGCTCTTGGGCTCCTTTTACTCTTATTTTAAGGTGACCTTCTGTTAAAGAGAAGTGTTGGATAAATGGCTACCCTTTTTAAATAATCCGCAACAACCTTACCTGGGTTACTAATAACATCGTTAGATTAGAAATCCTGAAAGGATTTAAGCTTTTTTTGCCACTTTTGCTGTCACCACAGAGGCAAGGAGAATGAACTTGCCTGTTTCCCTTTTGTTTCTAGTTGGTCTCATTTTCAAGCTGCGAGCTCTCAATTGGGGAGTGCTGGCAGCATGCTTGGTGTGGCGGGCAGGTATAAAGACAAAGCCCCCTCCTTTGTCAAGTGGTCACAGTGCCACTTCATGGGTCACTTGCTTCACTGCAAGCTAGTGCTGTGGTGGTGCTGTTTCAATCCCTGAGGGGTTTCCAGGCATCCTAAAAGTGCTGCTCAGCGCCGCTGATGTTTGCAAACATAGCAGTACTGGCCATCCCGTTTCGTGCCCAAATGCTGGCCATATCTGGAGTTTTATTAAGTTTGCTAAATCTAGCATGTGACCACTAAAGGGCTCCAGGGGTTGTCCTTACTGAGCCAATTCTGCCGGAAGGTTCCCATGTGTTTGATGTGCATAAATTAATACTCCATGAGCTTCTGTGTTAGCAGATGATACCAATATTTTTACAGGGTGGATGGAGAAACTAAAGCACAATGAAACATAACTGCAGTCCTGTAATGAGCTGGTGGCAGAGCCAGTAGTCATCTGGAAATGGCTGACTCTGGTACCCTGTTCCAATCATTGCCTCTCTTTGGGATTTTGTGTGCATTTAAGTCTCTAGGGAACGTTTTCTGTAGCACCAGTAAGACTACCAGCTTTGCACGTAGCAGGTAAATACAGACTTAGGAGGGGAGGAATCTCTTGTTGGCAGGGAGGCTGAGGTTATAGCTATAGATTTTAATGTATGTAGTTAGTTGGCTTTACACTGTGATATGCCACTGGGGATGTGTACAGCTTGCAGTGATTGAACTTTGGTGCTGAGAGGTCAAAGGTGGCTAATCCAAATTTTTGTTTATCTTCCAGGTCTACGCACAACGAACTAGAAAAGAACCGGTAAGTAGCTAATGAGCTGAATTCTAAGAAATGCAAGCCTAGTGAGTATAATGTGGTTTAACCTTACACATGCAGGTGCTGTTTGATCAGCTTAGACAGCTGTGAATGACCACACTGCATCACGTAGTTTTAAAAGTCGGGGGGGGGGGGGGGGGCGAAAAAGGGTATGAAAAAGCAGCCTTGTTTTTGGTTGGGTTTTTTTCCTCTCTCTGAAAAGGCAAGAAGTGACCCAGTTTTGTGACTAATCTGTATGCAGAGTAAATACTGTTCTTCTCCTGACACAGTGAAATCTGATTGGGGCACTTTCTGTACATGAGGTTGCTACGGGATCAGGTTTCTTGGGCCCTGGGTAATACGTGTTACCATGAACTGAAGGGCAGAACCCTGTGCTCTACACCCTCTCCCTCCCACCCTTCCACTGGGCTGTGATAATCTCAGCAGTGCAGAAGGAAATACCGTTGTCCAGAGGCTTGGAGGTCTGGTTACCAGTGCTCCTGTGGAGACTCTGTCTTCTAACCTGTTTTAGGATTGTGCCTGTTTATCCTTGAATCTGAAGTTTTAGCAAGCCTTGCAGTTTTGTTACTTGGCTAGCTCTGTTATATGACTCAACCCTTTTGTAAGAGGAGTTAAAGTAAGATAAATACCATTGAGACAAGGGGAGCTAGTTCACACACAGATCAGATTATCGCCTTCCATTCGGGATGCTATAGTTAAGGTTGTGTCAGAGTTCCCATTATAAACTTATCTTGGCTCTTCTGTTGGATTTTAGGGGGACTGAGGGGGGGTGTCTGTGGGGTTTTTTTAGCTGTTGGAACAAAGGCAGTGCTCTGGCCAGCTGCTCCTATGAAGAAACCCCCAGGGTGGGAAAGCTGAGTCTAAATAGGTTGATTGCCTCCTCTTCCCTCTTAGCAGCCATCATTTAACAAGGGATGGGAATCCTATAAGGATGGCCAAAGATACACAGAGGCTTCGAACCAAGTGTGTATTTCCATTCAGACAAGATCTTCCCATATAGCTTCAAGGGAATCTGAGCTGAGTACCTCGTGCATCACATTGCCTTCAGTTTCCCCCACATCTGCCTCCCCCAGCAGCAGCAGTACTGGGAAGTAGCTTGGCCTTTGCATGGTGTGGGTGTTTTCTTCCAGGCTGTGCTTCTACCTCCTGGTAGCTTTGAGGGTTACAGAGCTGTCATGGTCCTGTCTTTCTGGGTTGATGCAGGGAGGTTTTTTATTTCGGTTGTGTTGCTCTCTTGTCCCCGCCCCTGAGTTTCAACCTTTCCAGTCCCACGTTGAGCTGTGTTGAGAAGTGTTGGCTCCTGGGTTTTCCAGTGCTCTCTACAGTTTTTATTTACCAATGAGGGAAAGAAAATGCAGTGCTTGGGTCTGACCCAGAATGGAGGGTGCTTTTTTCTCCATGACAACAGTAAACCGTCACTAATTTTCAATGTGCTTATTTGCATATCTAATTGTTACTGCAAATGCTGCTTGCCCTCAGTACAGCTTTAGAGCAGAGCTGTCTCCATCTTTCCCTGTACCAGCCTGGTCCTCTCACATTGGCCAAGTTTGCATGGATATGTGACCATCTTTTTCTACCCTCAGGCTTGTGGGGCAGGCAATGAAGCTTCAAACTCTCTGTGGGTGAGATCTCAGCAGCTAGCATTCCATACTTACTGTCCAGCTAAGGACTGGCAAGTATTGATGGGCTTAGGATGTGCCTGATACCAGCTATCTGTGTGAGTTGAGGAAGTTTCTGCCTTGATTCCGTGTCTTTAACTGAGGACAGTAATACTACCTAGGGTGGGGTTATCATGAGGATTGACTACTGTCCAGCACTTTGTTATACATGTTACTAGTAAAAGGAGTATTATTACCTGTGCTTCCCCTTATACCACCTTTTTCTGAATGTTGACAAGCTGTTTACTTGCTGCAGAATTTATCTTCCCATTCCCAGTTGGTGTAATAACATCTTTCTCTCTTCCTCTCCTTCTGTCTCAGTTATGTTCCCTAGTGTCCCGTCCCTCCCCCCCCCCCCCCCCCCCGCCCAAAAGCGCCTACCCCTCGCCCTCTTAC